TGGTCGGTGAGGAGGCGCCAGAAGGGGATTTTGGACCGGTAGACCCCTGGTGGGAGGGGTCCTTTGGTGAGGGTGTCCTCCATGTTGTGGATGTCTTAGTCGAACTCTTCTATTTTACTTTTTTAGATTGGTGAAACTTTTTGATCGGAATTTTTCATGGGGTATAGGGCCCGGCGCAGCCAGGGGCATTAAAAGGGTATTAACAACGAACGACAGTGCACATGGCAAGCCAGTGAGCAAAATAACAGCGATAAGCAGAAGAATGCGGCCGACCACTCATTTATCACTAAAATTCTATCGCTTGCGTTGAAACCGGAAACTAAAGAAAAGACACTAAAAAAACGGGGCATTCCGTGTGGCATCCCGACCCACTCTGTTGCTGGAACTCCGAGTTGCCACTCATCCAGCAGCACACAAGCATGCTCTCAGTGGTTGGTAAGTTGATTTGATTTTTAAATCGTCTTGTGGATGCTACAGAGCAATCTGTAATACGTGTCTCGCATTGGACTAACACCCATCTTTGCTCGTGTGATATGCATGGTCAAATCCCGAGGAGTGGTGAGATCGGATATCGGCACGCCTGGGTCTCGGGAGGCTTGGACCCAACCTCGGTTGGAGGTCAGCGCAGGCAATTATGCTGGTGCTAATGTAGTGTATAAGCTCGGTTAAGCACTGGCTTGGCTCTGGATCAAGTTGCCCGATGAGGTCCATTCTGGTCAATTTCATTTCTGACTGACTATGTCGAAATCAATGGTATGTGCTGTTCCTTTGTATCTAAATAGATTCGGTTGCTTGGCAAAATTTCTTCGGTAGTGCTTCTTTTCCGGAGCTTTCTAACCAATCATAACTTCGCCATTTGCGTGATCGGTGCGACCTGCAATAAGATACTCCATACTCATACCGATCATGCTTTCGATAACTGCTACATCTAGTCGATTACTATGCACTAGTCAAGTCGTAATCTGCAGCAACTCTTCTTGTTGTCCTGTTGGATTAACCTAGGGCATGGGAAACACGTGGCAAATCGCCGAAACTCAAATTGGTCATTCATTGGTAAATCTACACTAAGTTGGTATATAATATAAATCAGTGCTACCTGACGTGTCAGCTCTGACGAACACCCATGAACTCGTGATGGATTTATCAACTCACCGTTACATCCTCCCAGGACTCCCACCCACGTCCCTTAACCTGCTTGAGGTCTTCTTCTGTGATCTCTTTCCCGGTCGAGAAGTACCCAGAATGGATCTTCGCATCGATCTCAACTCGTGAATCTTCCGGAATCATATCTAACCCAGTTAGCCACAAACAATCCTATCAGCAAGAGCAACCAACTCACCATCCGGAATAGGAACACGTTCATAGATCGGAATGCCCTGCTCGACAATCGCATCATGCTTCATATTCGACATGGACAGCATGCGGTCAATCTTTGTAATGCCCAACCAATGCAGGATATCCGGCATCAAAGCCTGAAATCTCATCTATGACACCATTAGTATCAACTCTTGAAACACGGCCCCCCACCCCGGGGAAGCTTTGAGATACTCACATCCTTGGTCCCCGCAATATTTTCCGTCCTCTGAAAATACTTATCGGCAGTATCCCCACCCCTCTTCCTCGAATTATACACCAAATACTTCACAACCTCACCTAGCGCCCTTCCCTCCTTTCGAAAATAAATCACCACTCCACTCCCGCCCCCCTGCGCCTCCTTAATCGCCTCCTCAATCCCAAACGTCAAATACGGCCGACACGTACAGATATCCGACTGAAACACATCCGACCCATTACACTCATCATGAATCCGCAGCGCCAGCCGCATCTCCGGATCAGATACCCGCTCTGGCGGCCCAAAGATATAAACCGTCAGTCCGCCGATCGGCGGAAGAAACACCTTCATATCAGGTCTGGTAATCAACTCCGGATAACTTCCCCCCGTGTGTTCGAATAACGCCCGTCGGAGATCCTTCTCCGACACGCCGAACCGATCAGCCACACCAGGGAGATACCACACGGGCTCTACGGCCACTTTGGTCACCTTCACATCCCCACCTTCATTGAGAACGATGTTCCCATCGATAGGCACCCGACCGCGCGCAATCGCATCCGTGATCTCAGAGACACGCATCGTCGCCCTCGTCACAGCGATGGTCGGCCGTACGTCAATCCCCTCATCTAGATACTTCCCGTAGTGCTTGACGATATCATGGCCGAATGGGTCCATCGAGACGATCTTGCTCTTGTCGCCCCATGCATCTTGGTAGGGGAAATTAAATGTCGGCTGTGTGTTAAGAAAGTTCGGGCGGAAGTCGGGTTCCAGGTCCCCTGAGGCGATGGCGAGCGCTGTGTAGAATGAGTAGCTGCCGCCGTGGGCGCCGATCGCGTTGCGCTTGCTGAGGGTGTTTTTGCTACGAGAGACGATGACAGGACCGCGGGTTTCGGGGGTTGAAGAACCCCAGGTGAGGGGGATGGGGTTGGCGACGCTTTGGGAGGGGTAGGTTGTTAGCTGTTGTGGTTAGTGAGTGAATGGTGAATTGGTAGAGGTGGAAGGGACGTACGACGATGCGGTTGCTGTAGGCGTCCGCTTTATAGGGGGGTTCTTGTGTTGCTGTTGGCATGATGTGTGTGTGGTGTTGAGGAACGAAAAGGGAGTCGATGGTGTACGAGACGTGAAGATGAGAGTTGTTACAGGGGAGTGGTGGGTTTATATGCTTGTAGTGACTTCTGTACTGAGTGCTCTTTGGGGTAGAGGCTGTGCTGGAGTGGATAGGCGATAGGGTGCTTCCGTTTTCTGACTATCTAGGGACAGCTGGACAGAGCTATCAGTATCCCCATGATGGAGTAGCTCAGATAGTAGCTCAGATACGATCGATCTCTCGATGATAGACCCTGGGTGCGGCCGATAGCCAATCAGAGGGGCCGATAAGCCGTGGCTGCCGCTTATCTTGTCTAATCTTATCTCTGGTGCTATCTAAATCTACCGCAACAGTATGGCTGGTATGGTGACTGGCTTGTAGTTGACAATGTGCAGTGAGTTGGTTTGGATATTTCAATAACTGGGTATAGTAGTAATATACTTCAGGGGGTAGTTAGAGGAGGTACATAGAGTACACCGGTTACAATCCCATTAAATAAGAAGAGAACAGCGTTCTTATTGCACTATCAAGGCTACATCTAGAACAAAGTGCCATCTCCAGAGTTCAAAATCGGACTCGACTTCGTTTCAGGCCTGTACTTCGCCGCCAACTCCCTGCCCGCCTTCCATGATCCCGCCTCCAACATCTGCGGCAATGATAACTGCACAGCCCCAAACTTGCCGCTCTGCAGAATCCGTTCGTGTAGCTTATCAAGCAACGCAACAGTCATGGCCCTCCACTCTACGATCTCGCCGTCTGCGACTGCAAAGCAAGGAAGGTTTCCTCCTGAGGTCCGTAGGCCACGCTCCTGCGCCTCGGGCTTAAGCGTCAATACGCCCATGTCTATGAATAATCCTCCATTTCGGTACTCAGGGAGGCCAGTTCCCAGCTCTGCGTTCTGCCATTTCAGGGAGAGAAGCCACTCAAAGGGAACCTTGAGGGAGTATGCAAGCCACTGTGTGAGCTTATGGAATGGTTGGATACTGTCTGTAGTGGAGGATGGTGATTGCTCTGCGAGCACGGCGAGTGGCCAGGCGTCGCCGATGGGGTAACCGTTCACTTTGGTGCGGTCGGATGGCCAGATGGGGATGAGTGTTTTCTGTAGGACATCCCAAAGAACCAAGTAGTCGATGGAGCCTTTGCTCATAGCAAGGAGGTAGTCTAAAAAAGTACGTCAGTTACTGGGTACTATATTACGCTGACTGGTAACGGACCTGCGATTTGCCCAGGACGGCCTGATGGTCCAAAAATTTCTGGAAGATTTCTCAAGGACTCGCCCAGTCGTTGGAGAATCTGGACCCGGGCAGAAGCTCCAAGGAGTGGGTTGCTGGAATCATCAACTTGAAAGCCGCGAAGTAGTGTGTCCACACTGAGGGTCCGCAGGGCCTCTCCTATTGTCCATCGTGAGCAATGACATGTCCCTGCCAACAACGCCGACAGCACGTACCATGCACCACATCCTTTCTCTCAGATCCCTTGTTGGCAAAGTCACCGTTCAAGAACATATACAGCGATGCGACCGCAATACCCTCGCTGCGGGTGAAGACAGCCCCGGTCTCTTTCTCCACGTAACGCCAAGTATCTCCTGCACCGGCATCGAGAAGCACGGAGACGAAGAATAGATCCAACAGACTTCTGACTTTCTCTTTATCATCATATCCGGATGCATCCCATCGCTCGATCAGTTTCTGAATTCGAGGCACGCCGCCTACGTCGAAGTGCTGCCAGCGACCGTGGGGAGGGATCTGGTCGTAGCGGTCCGGGCCGAAGTCGCGCTGAGTAGATGGTTAGGGATGGTTTTTGGATGTATAAGAGGCTATTTACCTGGATTATGCCTGCAACGTAGTCTACGGTCGCATCGAGACGCTCAGGGTGGTAGTCGTAGTGGTGCAGCTTTCCTTGTTCAGCGAGGCGGAAGACGATATTCGCTCTCTCGCGTACAGCTTCCAGACGAAGCAAGTGTCTGGTATTGGAGTCCATCGTGTTTCCTTAGCCAGGTAATGCAAATTTCTTGCAAATTCCGAGTGTACTCTGAGTACTTCTCTTCTTGATACGAAGAGAAGATAGATGTGTTGTTTACAAAGAATGTTACACTGGATGAGGGGATGAGCACAACAAAGCGGGGAAGGCGCTTATCGCCTCGGCTGATACGGTATCTTATCTGATACCAGCGACGATAACCGCCTACTGAAGATGGGCGGAACAACTATGAGATCAGAGGATGCCACAGTGATCATATCATTCAGTATCTTAACGAAGTCAACATATTTATAGCAGGACATATCCACTACATTGCAAGTCAAGTATACATTTCAATTCATTTCTCTTCTCGTTACATCAATACAACCCACTGTATCCATCATGACAGTCACACTACCCGCCAATGTTGATCAACCTCAAAATGATACTTTCACATCCCTTCTCTCACAACTCAGGGATCGATCCCTCAAGCCCTCCAAAGTACGCAGCCTAGTGCGCGACATGACAGCAACCATGACAAAGAGCCTGCACATCGACGTACCCAATGATGAAACGATAGCTATCATCGTGGTGCTACGCTCCGGTCTCGCCATGTTCGATGGTTTCGTGGACAACATCCCTGAAGATGTGTCGACAACTGTCTATCACATGGGTATATTCAGGGACCAGGCTTCATTGCAGCCGGTTGAGTACTACAATAAGTTACCCGTGAAGCCGGCGCACATCAAGCAGGCTTATATTCTGGATCCCTTGATTGCCACGGGCGGTACAGCCGCTGCCGTCATCAGTATCTTAAAGTTAGTTTCTGGTTTATTGTAATATTCGGACGAGTACTAATTATTCTAGGGATTGGGGAATCGAGAAGGTTACATTTCTTTCTATGCTGTCTACTCCGGTTGGGTTGGGGCATGCAGCTGCCGTGTGGCCCGAGAGTAGCCGATTTGTGGTGGGTGCAGTTGATCCTGACGTGGATGCGAAGGGGTATGTTCAGCCTGGAGTTGGGGATATTGGGGATAGGCTCTATGGAACAGCATTTGATTAAAACACATACGTAATAGAATTGTACAAGAAAATGAAGACTTACTTTTGCACCTTCGATCTTGCCAAATGAAATACATTCTGCACCCTTTTCTCGCCCTTTGATCCCTTATATCAGTCAAACGTATGGAATCAGAATCAAATGAGACAGTTCTAGACATCGGGAGGTCCTGACACATATTCTTGTCAGCTGCTCAAAAGTAAGCATAGGCCCAGAAAGCTAGCCTGCTAAACACCAATATACATTCAGACAAGGCTCAAAAATACAATCTTATCAATAAAGTCCTAGCCATTCCCTTATATAAAGCGAAAGAATATTTACAAATCCCCGGGATTCTAAGAACCACCCCGTCACCTGTACACCTCAATAGACAGCCTAAACCCTATAGCGAACTCATTTCCACTCTTAATGAGTCGTTCCATAGTACCTATCACCAAAGTCTCCCAGACCAGGACTAATGTAGCTAAAGCAGAGTCAGCAACGATCTACTTCAAATCAACCAAGCACACTTACTTCTGAGCAGTCAACTCCGCATCCACCGCCGCAGCAACAACCTTCAGGCCCGGAAACCTGCCAGAAACAACATCCAGTCCCTTCTGCGACGACACCACATTAACAAGAACAATAGATTCCTCAGGAACACTATTGCTCGTCAAGTTCTCAACAGCTTTGATCACAGATCCGCCGGTCGCGAGCATGGGTTCCAGGAGCAGGACGACTAGATCATTGTTAGTGTGTTCTCCTTTCCTGCCAACCAACAATCCATCACAAGAAAAGATAAAACATACTATCATCCGTAATCCCCGCCGGCAACTTCGAGTAATAGATCTTGGCGATGCTAGTCTCCTCATCGCGCTGGATGAGCAGCTTACCGAAACTAAGGGGTCCACTGCGCATCCTTATTTAGCGCACTTAAACACTCTCCAGATACAGAAAGGAAACACTTACGTCCAAGTATCCCGCAGCGCCTGTTCCATACAGGCACCGGCACGGAGGATACTGACACCGCAAACACCCTTCGTGAACCGGATTCCGGTGTAGGGCTTGTTGATCGGGGTAGTAACAGTGTATTCTTCAGCGGGGACGTGGCCCAATGCTATACATTTACATAAGCCGTTGTTCCAATGATTAAAAGTTCATTGGATATAGAATAATACTTACCGGCTGTAATCAACCGGCGCACAACCTTCTCCACAGCAGCGGAAAAGTCCCGATCATTGGTATTCACGTCCCGGATGATGGTCATCAAATTGAGTAGAGACCGGTCCTGTTCCAGGACCGTGATGCCGTCCATCTGGGTAGTCCAGGCTGCTGCGCTAGAGGATTCCATGGCGTGGATTTAAGTTTGGACTATTTTTCGATTGGCCGGAAGTGGGCGGAGTGATGGTTGAGGTGTTGTGATGAATTTTTGTTTGAAATGGATGATTTGGGCCACTCTGTGGATAGGACTGACTATATGGTTTAGGTTGGACGACTTTGGGCTTAGTCTCGACCGGCGCTGATTTAGTCGCGTGCTTTACGCCTATCGTGTGAAAAGAAAGGTGGAGTGAAAATTCGGAGGGAAAAAAGCGCGGGGTTTTGCGAAAGGACGATAAGATAAGCGGGGTGAGGATCTAATCTAATCTTATCTGGCTTGGGTGTTGGGCCTGGGAGGAGTGCTCCGGAGGGTTCTTGTAACGGTCGCTGTTGTCCAGAAAGAATGATAAAGTGCTGAGTAGTATCTTCTATGATATTACAAGCACTCCGACAGAATATCTGAGAACTTGCAGTCGTAATGGCTGCCGTATGACTCGCCCCACGCTCCGACTCCCTGAAGTTGGAATATATATCTATTGATTCTACTGTGAAGATAGTAGGCTCGGAATAATATGAAGAGTGGTAGACGTCGTCTACGTGATGGTAGGAATCTCCGTTCAAGGAATAATAGCTTGGGTTCAAATCTCATGTATTTCCCGATGTTCTCGGCGTGATGGCAGAAGACCAAGTGATGAGCTCACTGCGCAGGTATCAATGTGCAGCTTTTCGGCAGCTTGTTGCGGTTCTCTACTTCTGTACATCACTTGAATATTATGAGATGCCCTTTATAATTCTACTAATGTCACTGTTGAGAAACTGATGCATTGGACAGGCGAGGCATGTTTTTAACCGGTATCCCGAGGCGTGATACCATTCTTAAACCGTGATATTTGATAGTTCTGCTTAGATGCATGATCTATGAATAGGAAAGGTAGTTTTTATACCAAATACATGAATCTATTTGAGGCTGAGAGCCTCATAGACCCATTTTGTATATAGAACGACAAGACACGCAACTATACCCAATACAGCATCGCCTGTACGCTTATCAAGACGATTTACGTAGCAGCTCGCTTATCAGTAAACACGCGCACAGGCCAAGCAGCAACCCCAAGTCTGATAAGACAGCCAGTATCTACCAGATCGCCAGATAATCATCGCCACCATAATCCGATAATCTGTATCTTCCGATTGGATTCACCAGATCGCCATACGATAACATGCCCCGGGCATCAAGCGCCTCATCGGGTCGCTCTAGGTTCACACCGTTCCCCGCAGCCTCGCCCGCTTCTAGCGATGGTACCACAGTGTCGGGGCGCGTGCGCCGGCGCATCTCAGATGTAGGTTATTCCAGTTCAAGACATTGATAAGAGTGGAATAATCCATACTGATGAGAGATTGTGGAGATAAGACCCGTCGTGATGGGCTAAGTTCCCGATCCAGTCGTGCTGAAACCGTACCGGTTGAAGAAATTGATGCATCCGACCGGGAGGAGCTATTACTGCGGTCGCAGTCTGGGCCGACAATCACGCATCTGTTTATTAATAATGAATCAGTGATGTCTAGGTCACAGAACTGGACGACAGTTTTGGATCCGGTATTTGTCTTGATCAACCTCAGTTTATTGCTACTAGTGCTAACGCGATGGACAGGTCTCCCAACGTCTACTTTGCAGGGTCCCGGGGAGTACTCTTCAGGAAGTACAGCGGGCTGTTGGGGCTGCTGAAGATGCCCAGCCTGGATGGGCTGCTTTGGGTTTTCAAGTGAGGCGTGAGCATCTGTTGAGACTAGTGGATGTACTAAGACAGATGTCTCCTGAAATTGTGAGCAAGCAGCCGCAACAGCTGACTGGCAAAGGAGTTGAACTAACAATCACAGGTGACCTGTTTATCTCGAGAGGTTGGAAAGACCCTAGCCGATGCAGACGCAGAAGTCTTCCGCGGTCTAGACTGCATACATGCCGCGTGCTCGATTGGGCCTGAAATGGCCGGCATGTTCTTAGGAGGCGATGCAACGTTGCTACAAACGTTCTACGAGCCAGTTGTACGTTGGTGCTAACAAGATACGGACAAGCCACTGACAGATTTCCACAGGGCGTCTGTGTGTCAATCACCCCTTTCAGCTTTCCCTTCATGATTCCCTTGTGGTCGCTTCCGTACGCGCTCATCACCGGCAATACAGTTATCCTGAAACCCTCTGAGAAAACACCTACTACGTCTTCATTGCTAGCACAGGCATTCGTAAAGACTGGCTTCCCACCTGGAGTCTTCAATGTGCTTCACGGCGGTCCATCGACCGTTCAGATGCTTGTGACTCAACCAACGGTTCAAGCGGTGAGTTTCGTCGGGTCCGAGTCCGCTGCTAGGCAGGTCCATGACTTGGCAAGGGCTGCAGGGAAGCGAATACAAGCAGAGTGTGGTGGCAAGAACCATGGGGTTGTCCTAGAGGATGCCAATATGTCCTCAACGCTGTTTGCAATTGCTGGAAGTGCCTTTGGAGCTGCGGGTCAGCGATGTATGGCCTTAAGCGTAGCAGTGTTTGTGGGTGCGACGAGAGACTGGGTTCCTAGGCTGGTCGAACTGGCACAGTCAATGGTGGTAGGATGTGGAGGGGATCAAGAGTCTAAGATCGGACCTTTGATCGACAAAACAGCCAAAGAAAAAGTTAGTGAGATGATCCAGCGAGCAGTTGAGGAGAGAGCAACGGTTCTTCTAGACGGTCGGGATATTGAGGTCCCCGGCTATCCGGATGGCAACTTCATGGGCCCAACCATACTCGGGGACGTGCAGACGTACATGGAATGTTATCAGGCGGAGATATTTGGACCGGTACTCATCTGTATGGAGGTGGACACTCTCGAGGAAGCGATCGATCTGATTAATCAAAACAAGTGTCAGTCTCTGATCATTCCGTGTCTGGGGGACATGGATTGCTGATCCGATCATAGATGGTAACGGATGCTCCATATTTACCACCAGTGGAAGACATGCAAATACGTTCCAACGCTGTGTCAATGTTGGACAAATCGGTGTCAACATCCCGTTGATCGGTATGGCTGTCCCTATTTCCGTGGCGCAACCAAACCCTGACAGTACAACAGCGCCATATGGAACCGCGGTCCGAACGAGCAACAAAGATTCTTTTCTGGGTGGTAAGTATCCAGGAATTGCTGATGGGAGAAACTCTAACCTGTCCAGACCGGCATTCCCCTGGAAAGACATATTGGCCATTCTTCACAACAACAAAGACGGTGTCATCGCGATGGGATCAGTGAGCGCTGAGGAGTGCTCTCTGTATGCAGCAGATGAAGAGTGTTGGTTGGGAGACCGGGTATGAGTCGCTTTCCACCCTAAGGTCGAACGCAATGCGAAATGGAGGGCATTTGCATCCTGCTCGTCAATGAACTTATCGAGACCTGATTGGATGCATTACGGTCGTGGTAGAGGAGTTTAAACGTCGATGAGCCGAGGCGCGGACTATGCTACTTGTCGAGGTGTGTGCCGGATGACATGCCGACCGATGAACGATAAACACCGGGTCCGATCGGTAGGTAGTTTCAACACTGCTGGGAAATGAGCCCTGAGGAATATTAATCTAACTGTACTTGGAAGTTGAAGACACTTCTCACCCTCTCCAATATTGCACCGTACTAGAAAGAGTATGAGTCACGTAGTTTCCTCGCCGTAATCGAAATACAGTTACATAAA